CAAGTAAATCTGCGGTATTTAGATTTAGCGTAAGTGAATGCTGTGTGGGCCTTAGTGCCAGTTTAATCTATCTCCAGCTTGGCTCATCAAAGGCTCCTGTAAGTGAGGGGATACATGAGGCATCCCATGGCCCTTGCCAAGGCCACATAGTGCCCAGCCAACGCCTTGCATTGAAATAATACGGCTTTTAAAGCTGCTTTGCTTCAGTTCTAGGCAAGTTCATATATCTCAGTGAAAGCTCTTATTTACCCTTGAAAAGCAAATTGTGATTTATTTTAGCAGGAATTACAGGATCTGTTTCTTGAGGGAGCATCCCCAGTTTCTCTTGTGCTTAACAAACTTTGGAATGACCCATGTTTGTCCAGGATGAGAGGATTATATATTATTTAGTATTATTATTCATAATTTAGATAAACAGAGAACGTCTCTAGCAGTGCAGAACATGTACATATAAAATACCTGTCAAATTATTTATTTCCATATAAATTATGTACTGTCAAAAGTGCTCTACTGATCTGAAGGTTAAATGACTTTCTGGCCAATTCAGTCTTCAGTAGGGGAAAGACTTTATTTTTTTTTTATATTACTACAACTTGTGTCACAGGAAAGCAGTATTTCAACCAAAAGATTAGCCCCACTCAACTCTGTTGCCAGGCTCCTATCCCAAGGGCTGCATTTGAGGAATACATTGGCTCTAGCTGGATATTTTCAAGCCCTGAGCAGTTTGTACTGTGGTGTTCTGCAGGCCCTGCCCAGCATTTTTAATCAAACCATCTCAGAAATCCCTAAGCCTCACACCTCTCCATTTCCAGTGAAATGAGAAGTATTCACACACAAATTGTGATTAATACACCTTGAAAATATGCAGCACCAGCATTCAAGGTTATTCCCCAATAAGCCATCATTTTTGTCACGGGCTCCTGATAAATCTTCTGGCTGTGATGAGATGCAGCTGCTCTTAATCGTTAATGTTAGGGCAGCACGAATGCATTTTTCTAAGAGGAAAAGCCCAGTGTGAGTGGGGTGCAGAGAAGGTGTTTGAGGACTTGGGCCCGTTCGGGTCTGCTGGTGCAGCTCAGGCTGCTCAAAGCTGTGTGAGCCAGCGCGCTTGGGTTCCGTTTAAATCGCTCATTTTGGAACAGAGTCCATATTACCTGAATTAGTCCCACCTACCATCAAGCACCTGTAAATCTGCATGTAGACAAATCCCCAAACCTGAGCTTCAGCTCTCTGTTGCTAACCAACAAAGTGCGTAGGCACGTGTTGAAATCCCTTGGACTCCAACAGGATCCATAGCGGAGCCAAATTAAGCCCAAACGAAGCTCTGCTGAGCAAGAGCTGTCTTTGTGGGCAGGTTTAAAAGGTAGTGGCTTCTGTGTTAGAGGAGCTGGAGGGCACAAAAGAGGAGATAGCAAAGAGACATGACCATAGATTTCTTCTTCTCCCATAGTGCTAACATCTTTAATGAGGTACGTGTTCATGAAAATATAACCCTGAGGTTCTCAGGTCTGCCTGGCATCTTGACACACGCCAGCTTCCCGCTGCAACGTCAGGGGCGAAATCTGCCGAGAAAGCTGAAAGGTGTTATTTAATTAATAACAGCCAATTTGAATGAGTGCCAAAAATGTCACTCAGCATCTCGAGAGGTGAGCTTGGTGTTTTCACCTCCGTGGGGAAACGGGAGGTTTCTGGAGCCAGGGGACCCTACCAGCATCACGCACATGAGCAAGGAGCAGCAGCATCTTAAGTCTCAGCGTGCTGTCAAGTCAGCACAGGTCAGATCCTGCTCGTTTCTTTATATTTAACAAGTAAATCTGCGGTATTTAGATTTAGCGTAAGTGAATGCTGTGTGGGCCTTAGTGCCAGTTTAATCTATCTCCAGCTTGGCTCATCAAAGGCTCCTGTAAGTGAGGGGATACATGAGGCATCCCATGGCCCTTGCCAAGGCCACATAGTGCCCAGCCAACGCCTTGCATTGAAATAATACGGCTTTTAAAGCTGCTTTGCTTCAGTTCTAGGCAAGTTCATATATCTCAGTGAAAGCTCTTATTTACCCTTGAAAAGCAAATTGTGATTTATTTTAGCAGGAATTACAGGATCTGTTTCTTGAGGGAGCATCCCCAGTTTCTCTTGTGCTTAACAAACTTTGGAATGACCCATGTTTGTCCAGGATGAGAGGATTATATATTATTTAGTATTATTATTCATAATTTAGATAAACAGAGAACGTCTCTAGCAGTGCAGAACATGTACATATAAAATACCTGTCAAATTATTTATTTCCATATAAATTATGTACTGTCAAAAGTGCTCTACTGATCTGAAGGTTAAAGGCTTCATCATGGAAATGTAGCAGCTCCCCATCATTTCAGAATGTGATTATTTACAGAAAAAAACATCCCGGTGGCTGTAGGTTTCCTATTGATCTGCTTCAGCAGCTCTGTCTGACTTAGAACAGCTGAAATAAATGAAATAAAAATACAAACCTATGGTCGTTTTATCTTCCCACAAGAAGTAGGTCATATCCCCAACCGAGCTGTATTTTATTCATGTAAATACATTTTTACAATTAAAAATGCAACAAAAACTATGTTCACGTCAACAGAGCCAAGCCTGGTGAAACTGGGTTGGGGCTGGTGCCTGGGCTTCCCCCGGGCAAAGCCCTGCTGCGGGGCAGGCCGGTCTCTCGCTCCTCTGCCGTGGGCTCCGGGCCCTAAATCACTGGTTTGGGAGTGGGAAAGCCGGGAAAAGCAGGAGAGGAGTGAAAGCGCTTAAAGCTCTCCAGATTGAGCTCTGTATAGGAATAATTATGGCTGCTATTTTAAGAAGTTGTTTAATAATATTAAACCGATGGCAGGCTGAGATTGTAACACTGCCACCTCCACACTCCTGGGGGCTTTTTCTTTTCTTCCTCCCCCCCCAGCTCTGATATATCTGCATTTTCCCAAGCCTGTGTTACCAATTACTGTTCTCCAAAGGCTCTCTTGAGCAAGCTGGGAATCGCTTTGCACGAGGGGAGAAGGCAAAGGCACTGAAGGGCAGCAGCGAAGCCGTTGACTCCCCTCCTGGTGTGTACCTCGCGTGTGCGTGCGTGTGTTCAGCAGCACCCCCCACAATTTCACCTGGTCCAGTATTTTGAGGCAAATCAGAGCTGCTTCCGATGGGGCTGAGTGGTGACCCCATGGGTACCACCCCACACAGTGACCCGCGGCAGAACAACCACACCTCTGTGGTAAACCATGGTTTGGCTGTCTCAATTTCCCTATTTATAAAACAGAAACTATATTCTTGATGGGCACGTTAGTACTTCGGGAACTTTGGGTGCAACGTGTTGCCCTTACTGTGCATACAGATAATTAATGGTGGGGGTTTTTTTCTGGAGGTTTAATGTTTCATTTGCACTGCGTGGTGATGAGCGCTGAGCTGCTCTTGGCAGGATGCTCCCTCCCCAGTACAGGGCTGCGTGTTACCGCTGCAACAGAAATTGGAGCTGCTTATAGAAACTGCCATAAGAGGGATGTCAGGGCTGTCGTAGGGACCTGCACCGCCAAAAAATAAGGAGCCTGAAACAGAGACAGACAGGAAAAAAAAAATGAGCTAGAAAGAATGGGGCTTTCTACCACATGTTCCTATTTTTCTGGCATTTCATTTGTAATTAGAGGGGGGAAAGAAAATGGGGTTAGGTCCAGCTGGACTTTGTTTGAGAAGGAAGGTGGGAGGGCAACGTCCTGAGGCTCCCAAAGGGGGGCGTGCAAGCAGGGTTTCACAGCACCAAACCCAGCCCGAGCTGCACCCAGGCTAGGCTCAGACCAGCTCTTCCTCTGCAGGCATCTGTGGGTCATTAATGGGGGGAAAGAAGCTCTTTATCTCCTCTTTCACCAGGCCTGTCCTTGTTCCAGGTGATGCCATTCAGCTGGGTTTTTGTTTGGTAAGGTATTTCTCACTGTTGGGCGGGGGGTAGAAGTGTCCTTGCCACACACAACACCCTTTCCCAGCCAGCGAGGGCTGGCTGTCATTCTGCCCATGCTGCAGCTGCACAAGAAATAAGAGGTTAAGAAGATTAAAATGCGATGTTAAGTACTGTGAAAACAGATCTGTCAGCCTGGCCTATTTGCTTGAGGGTCTTTGGGTTTCGTTTGGTTGGGTTTTTTAAGATGTCAGGAAAGATGCTTGAAAATAAATTAGGTTTCATTTAGCTCAGAGTAACAATTAAAACTTGGAATGGTCAGGGCCTGTTTCAGCAAATCAATTAAAAGATTGGCACATAAATGATGTGTACCTTTGTCTTTCGCTGTCCTCGTCAGGCCGGGAGACTTTCAGACTAGGACGTTTGAAGATGAGGCCATTAAACCAACGCATATTTCCATCGGCTGACCCGTAACTGTCCTTTATGACCTTCTGGCTGGCCTCTAACCTGCGATATCGTGGGCCTCTCCCTGAGGAGGTTTTTTCCATCACCACCTCTCATTTAAAGCAATTTCCTTCTGCACCTCCAAATTCATCCCCAGGAGGTTGAAGGAGCAGGCACATCTCTCTGCCCGATGGTAGCACTTGAAGGCAGCTGCACATCCCACCCCAGGGGCGATGGCTTTCCATCAGTGGGGTAACCCATGGGATGGATGTGAGGGTAACATCAGTGAAGCAGAGGGGATTGAGAAACCCTTGGGAAGTACGCTCCCTATTTCATAGTGATGGAGTTAACATTTTTCACAATTTACAATGAAATTGAGACAAAGCACCAGCTATTTAAAACATCAGAGAGAAGCGAGGGAGACCACGGGTCACAGCACAGAAGACATCGGGCACAAAAGGACCCTTCAGTCTAGCGGACGAAGACACTGCCGGGCTGGAGGAGGCTGGAATGGGACAAAATTCAACCAAAACTCACAACTGTTAAAGAGAAGCTCCTGGTTTCAGCTTTGGCCCTGCAGCAGCACTGGCGTTATGGCTTTCGGGCTGTTCACCGTGTCCTGGGCATACAGTGAGGCTCAGCAGCGGGCATGGGAAGACCGGCGGCTTCTGCGGCATCCCAGCTGCAGCGCTCGTCACATCAAATATTCATGATCCAAATGGATGCAGAGAGCTCCCCCAGCCCGCAGTCCGCCTGGCCGCCTTGCCGGCAGGTTGCGCTCCTGACAGCCAGCATCCGATCTGTACTGGCTGCGAGTGCTCCTCGGGAGGGACTGGAGGGACCTTCACTAACAAGGCTGAGGGAAGCCCCATGGACTGAAATATTTAAGAGTAGCCAGGACAGTTCCCTAGTAACCACCCCGAGGAGACCGGTCCTGCTCTGGCAGCTCTGTATGTGCTTGCATCTGCGGTGCAGCTTCCAAAAGCAGCTCAGCAGCTCCAAATGGCAATGGGCAATGCTCATTGAACCCTTCGCAGTGCGGGTATCAGACGGGGCTGTGACAGCACCCGGCATCACTAAACTCCCACCAGGGCCTCCCTCCCCAAGCATCCCAAAGGATTTCTTGCTCCAGACAGGTTCTGTGCAGGAAGCTCCAGCAAAAGCTGGGCTAAAACTTGTTTCTCCTCCAGTTTCAGGGCACAGGGTCTCCTGCCTGCCCCTGCCCAATGTATCTGGCTGCCTGTGAGCTCGGTGGCTGGGTTCCATGGACAAAACGGGGTCACAGCATGATCCCTCTGCTCCCTGCCCCGCTTATGCTACTTTTCAGCGCTGATGATTCCTGCCATTTGTTTTTCCCTTGCAAACTGCACCAGGGTACCTGGGTGCCAAGTGCCCAACTGAGAGGTGCTGGGACAAGGGAGAGGTGCATCCAAGGGGAGAGGCGCATCCATCACCGGGCAGCAGCCTGACCGGGCCCTTCTGCCAGGCGTGGGTAACAATTTTGCCAGCTCTGCCACTTGCATTTGGCCCAGGCAGGGATTGATAATTAAATAACACCCACGGAGAATCCCACCCGTTCTTCCTTCACAACAGATGCAACCGGTTGTAAAGTTCATCATTAATCCCAGAGACAGAAAAGCTGACAACTAGAGGATTTAAAATGTGGTTTGACAAACACTTTCATCTTCTTTCTTTTTTTTTTTTTTTTTTTTTTTAGTTAAAAACATCGCAGAATGAGCATGTGGAGCAGTTTCCACCCTGAACTGCTCTTGCCTGGATGCTGGAGCGCTGTTACAGATTTTTGAACCTTCCCCCCCGCCCCCCTTCCCCTTGTTTCGCAGCACCCTCTCCTGCTCCTGCGGCGGAACAGCAGCCCGGCAAGGCGGGGAGTTTATCCCAGAAACTGCTTTTTCCATCTCCAGTGATCCTGGAAAGGCTCCTCAGGGACACTGAGCCCCACTGTTTATTTCTGGGGACACAGGCTATTGAAAAAGCAGCTGAAACTCCTTCTGGAGAGGCAAGGGTGGGGCTGTCCCCTCTGCTCCTGCAGAAAGTTGTTGGAACAGCAAAAGCAGCGTTCCAAGTCCGCACTCGGATGTAACTCCCATAGACCATCAGGATTTTGTTGGAGGAAAAATATTTTTAAAAAAACCCCCAAAGACTAGGGTAGGCTCGGCTAAAAAATATGCGTATCTATAGTACTGCTGAAGAGCAGAAAGGAATTAACCCATCTAACATCAGGGAAACCTGCTTCCCACAGTGGCCCACAAGCGTGCGGCTGCAGCCCTTAACGCGGGCGAAGGAGTGTAAAGTCACTCAGTTGGTGACAAAAAGTGTTTGGGACCAAGCAGTGACCGAAGAGGAAGTAATGCCATCATCATCAGCCTTGCAACACAGCTGCTTTGGTCCTGCGCTCTCCCGGTGCAATCTCTCGCAGATGCTCTCACTCTGAGCGAAACCAGCCACGTTGTTGAGTCAGCAGAAAAACCTGGGGCTACTGGAGAGATATGTGCAAAAATTTGTTAGGGAAACCGATACTTTCATGAGCAGTGAAATAACAACCAGAGCCCGGTTTCTGATGGACCTGTGACTTGTGGTGGACTCTCTGATGTCTGGAGAAAATCATTTCCTGCAGCAATCCTTCCCCAGGAGGGGCATTAGCATCCTCATCTTCTTTCATCCAGCCATTTACAGTGACTTTCTGGTACTCTGATATTTATCCTACACCAAACTGAAAGGTTCAAAAGGTGTGGAGAGAGACCGACAGGTCATGCAAAGTTATGGGTATGCAAACATGCACGGAGTCAGCATTGCAGACTGACCACACGAACCACATTTTCTTAGGAAGGAAGGGTTAAAAAAAAAAAAAAGCTGAAAGTTGTATGAATTCTTAGCAGGCAGGGAAAATGCTGTGAATGGGAACAGAATATGAGAGGGCTTTAGGGCAGAATGAAGGACCTCTGAAGTGCCACTTAAACTGTACCATGGTGGGGGAAATGCAGTACCTTCAAGCAGACAAAGCCAAACAAGAGCGTGGCTTTGGAAAAAGGAAGGAGAAAGCGCAGAAGTAAAGGAGCCACTTAAACCAGCATGGAGGAGCAGGAGGGAATGGGGAGAGCACCCGGTCATGTGCTGGGGGCGGCAGAAAAGAGGAATCAGGAACTTTCTGGAAAAAAGAGAAAAAAATGTAGCAGCAAATATCCAGGTAGAAGCATTCCTGTAAGCCTGAGGACCCGCTGCATGGGTGGTCTCACCATCTCCAGTGCATTTTCCCAGCCCGCCTGCCCCACTGTGGAGGGCATCTTAGAGCTGAATAATTGATTTTGTTCTGTATTTGCCAGTCGCCGGTGGCTCTGAGTAGGGGGTCTGGCAGGAAACCCCGGGTGACACGCTGGCTGCAGGTGTCAGGGGCCGGTTGCCAGATGCTGTCACACGCGATTACTGAAGACTTCAGAGTACCCGGACCTTCTGCTCTGCAGAAAAGCTGGGTTTATGACATTCAAGAAAAAGGTAGCACGCTCCTGCCTTTGCTTGGATATTGAGGATGCTCGGTGTTTACATTGCTGGATATGGGAGAGCAGAATGGGAGCAAATGCCCCAAAGGAGAAAGAGCCTGCCCCGGGGAATATCCTGCCCTTCTCTGGGTCTGTAGCTCCAGGACAGGAGCTTTATCCTATAATAATGGAGCGGGTTTTATTCTGGCAGAATAGCTGCATCAATAAACACCTCTTTGGCGCCATTTCTGGCAGCTGAACTTTGATTTTCATGGCCTCTGCAACTACCTCGGGGATAAAGCTACACATAACACATGGATTTTTGCTGATAAGAATTGAATACCTCGGTGTGGACAGAATTGACCTCTTAGTAAATACTGCCCTAAGAGAAGCTGCCTTGCATCAGCTGGGCTGCAACACCGAGCAGCTACAGGCGGGCAGCTCCTGCTTAACTGCGGACAGCCTGGGACAGGAGGGTGGGGGGGAAACAACCTGGCCAAGTTATTTGACAAAGGCTGGAGGAGGGAAGATGGGACAGAAAATGTCGTCCAAGGGCTAGGTGAGTGCATCCTCCCACATCCCACAGCAGCTCGCTGAGGACCAGAGTGTAGCAGGAGGAGAAAGCTCAAAAAATTCCTTATAAACTAAGGATGTGCCAAGATCAAGAATCCCCCTGGGTCCTCCTGTTATTATTTTGAAAAGAAAACAAATTAAAATGTTTTTTATTATTAAAAGAGCCTATCTCAGGAAGCTGAAGACCTCCTCAATATCTGCTTGCATTATTAAAGGGAATGAATCATTAAATGCACCTTGAGATGCAGTCACAGGTATCAGGATAAATCAATCCCCAGAAAAGAGAAGCACCAGCTGAGGGTCTTATTTACAGCTCCTCTCCAGAGCAATTTCAAGGCATGCAGGCCCCTGCTCGAGGAGGGCACCTGGTTCCTTTAATATTAATGACCCCCAGGCAGCGTTCAGCAGCACGCAGATCTCAGGCTATGGGGAAAGCTGCTGGTTTCTGTACAGCAACCATCCTCCATGGAGGAGCCCAGGGCTGGGTTTGGGAGAAACACATCGCGCTCTCTTTGTAATGGCGCTAAAGGAAGAAAAAACCAAGCATCGACTCTCAGCACTAGGATACATTAGCATGACAGATGGCTTGCAGAAAAAGAAAAACTATCTCGGGTTTTGAGATTTGTGCTGACTGCGCCACAGAAAGGAACTATTCCAATTAGCATCTGTACAGACTAATTGAGGAGCATTGAGAGTATCAACCCAATTTGCCGCCATTGTCGAGCAGTCATTGTCCTTGATTATTTTTCCCAATTATCCCTTCAGTCACAACTCTGGGGACACAGAAAATGCCACTTTGGGTTTTGCCTTCCTGTGCCTGTATCCGCTGTCCCCGTTCCCTTCCCAGGAGGGCACACGGAGCCGTGCCGAGCAGCTTTCCGGGCTGCGGCTCGCATCCCATCGGCAAAGGTAAGGCAGCTTTCCTGGGTACCCGAGGTTATTCCTGCCTGGTTAAGCAAGTCCATCGCGGAGCAAACATTGTGATTCATCAATATGGCTAAAGGCAACTGAGTTTTTAGCCATCTGGCCATGGGCAGCTGTCATTTTGCATTGCCGTAATGCAAAACCAGCCCGGGCTTTCTCTGGAAGGAAATTCCTCTCACCGTCGAACGTACCTGGGGGAAATGCCTCTCGGCACTCCTGCTGGAAGCCACAGCCCTGGCACCCATCATTTACCTGTCTCCTTCTGTTTGTAAATTAGGCCTGAAATGCAAGTGCTTCTCTGCTTACCACGGTCATGTGCCATGGCTGCACCCCAGGCTCCGGCGCAGGGCACGCGGGCGCCAGAAATCAGCACCAAACTGCAAGATTTCCTCTCACTGATCCCTACCTACCAGACCTGCCCAAAGAAAAAAGGGGGAAATACTCTTCCATGGGAGTTATATCCTTTCAGGAACAGAAGGTGGCAGACGAGTTTGCTCTGAGTGCCTGGCACAAGCTGTGATATTACTCAAAAGTTTAAAAGCATTTAATCTCTTGGTGCGGAGCGCGGCAGAAGCGCACTTGCCCCCAGCCCAGGGCAGCAGCCCCGCAGCGAGTGATGAGCTCTCGGGCACGGGGTCTGTATGGCAACGCTGGAAAGACAGCACCTTTCCCATGGATGTGTTCTCCTCAGAAACGGGCCTGTGTTTGTTAAACTGTGAATTTCTATTGCAAAAAAAAAAAGATATTTGCTGTTTGTTGGCTTTTAGTGTTCAAGCTACAGGCGCAGCAAAGGACGGGGTGAATCAGGACATAGTAAAACCTTCCCATTTATGTCATTTTTCTCAGTCATTGCTTTTTTTTTTTAAGGTGCTCAGGCAGACAACACTTGATACACATCTGAGACCTGAGCGATGGAACTAATCCTGACACGGTCCATGCATGAGGCAGCACTCCAGTGCAGGCAGAAGGAAACTGCTTTTTTTGGGTTTTTTTTGCAACGTATCTGTGCAGGACAGCCATTTTTCCCATGCAGAAAAGGAGAAGACACCAATTCCCTACCGATGGCATAGGGACAGCTTTGCCCCACGGGCTGCTGCAGGCTGAGCTCCAGGCTGCACCAGCCCCGTGCTGCCCGTAGCAGTGGGTCTCACCGTGAGAAAACCGATTTAGCTGGCTGAATATGAGCCAGCAGGGTGCCCAGGTGGCCAAGAGGGCCAACAGCATCCTGGCTTGTATCAGGGATGGTGTGGCCAGCAGGAGCAGGGCAGTGACCGTGCCCCTGTGCTGGGCACTGGGGGGGCCGCCCCTCGAATGCTGGGGTCAGGGTTGAGCCCCTCCCTCCCCGAAGGACCTGGAGGGACTGGAGCGTGTCCAGAGAAGGGCAGTGGAGCTGGGGAGGGGTCTGGAGCCCAAGGCTGCTGGGGAGCGGCTGGGGGAGCTAGGGGTGTTCAGCCTGGAGAAGAGGAGGCTGAGGGGAGCCCTCATCGCTCCCTACAACTGCCTGAGAGGAGGGGGGAGCTGG